ATGCTACAACATGAATAAACCTTGAAAACATTATGCTAAGAGAAGACAGACACAAATAACATATATTATTCCATTTACATGAAATGTCCAGAATAAGCAAATCCATAGAGACAGAGAGTAGATTAGTGGTTGCCAGGGACTTGGGGGAGGGGTAATGGGAGTAACTGCTTGATGGGCATGGGGGTTCCTTTTGGGGTGGTGAAATACTCTGGAATTAGATAAAGGTGGTGGTTGTACAACATTGTAAATGGACTAAATGCCACCAAAGCATATACTTTAAAATGGTTAAAATGGTGAGTTTTAGGTTAAGTAAATTCTATCACAATAAAAAAAAAAAGATGGGCAGTGGCCCATCGAATCCCCACCCGTTGGTGACTGCTGAGGCTGAGTAACTAGTTGCCTGTCCCTCAACACATAGTTCTGAGCAGGCAGGCACTGGGAAAGAGCTGGGGAAGGAGGAAAATCTTCATTCTCTGTATCTTTCTCCGTGAAGCATGACCCCACTGCCCTAGTCACTCTGCCCCTCACTGCAAACACACCTTCACGCACCTGATCCCTTCCAAGCCTTTGCTTGTTCCCTCCATGTCCGGCTCAAATCCTTCCCTGATGCCTTTCTCTGATCCCTGCCCACACATCTGGATTTTCAACAATCTAACTGGCCGGGCGCAGTGGCTCATGCCTTTCATCCTAGCACTCTGGGAGGCCAAAGCAGGAGGATTGCTTGAGGTCAGGCGTTTAAGACCAGCCTGAGCAAGAGCGAGACCCCGTCTCTACTAAAAATAGAAAGAAATTAGCCAAGTGTGGTGGCACACACCTATAATCCCAGCTACTCGGGAGGCTGAGGCAGGAGGATTCCTTGAGCCCAGGAGTTTGAGGTTGCTATGAGCTCAGGAGTTTGAGGTTGCTATGAGCTAGGCTGACATCACGGCACTCTAGTCCAGGCAACAGAGTGAGACTGTCTCAAAAAAACAAACAACAACAACAACAAAAACCAGCCTAACCAAGCAAGTATTGGATTCCATTTGCTCTCTCAGCCTTGCTTTTTTTTTTTTTTTTTTTGAGACAGAGTCTCACTCTATTGCCTGGGCTAGAGTGCCGTGGCGTCAGCCTAGCTCACAGCAACCTCCAACTCCTGGGCTCAAGCAATCCTCCTGCCTCAGCCTCCCGAGTAGGTGGGACTACAGGCATGCACCACCATGCCCGGCTAATTTTTTATATATATTTTTAGTTGGCCAATTAATTTCTTTCTATTTTTAGTAGAGACGGGGGTCTCGCTCTTGCTCAGGCTGGTCTCGAACTCCTGACCTCAAAAAATCGGCCTGCCTTGGCCTCCCAGAGTGCCAGGATTATAGGCGTGAGCCACCACGCCCGGCCTCAGCCTTGCTTTTTGAATACATCTCCAGCCTGTGAGAGCCTACGGATGTTAAGAGCCCTCACCCCTGAGCCAGGCTCCCAGGAGCTCCTTGGGTACTGCCTGTTGGTCCTAAGCCCAGAGCTATACCATGGGCCTCTCCCCTGGACACTCCTAGACCAACACTGTCCAGAAGCTGGTGGAAATGACCAGCAGTGGAGTGCGGTCAGTGTGTCTCCAGGAAGAAGACCAAAGTCTACCACCCAAGAGGTGGTGGTCCAGTGCTATCTCATGTCAGCCTAACAGCCAGACAAATCTTTGATCACCAATCAGTCCCGGCATGACTAGTACACAAAATCCCTTCCAGTTGTTTTAATTAAAATGGTGAGGAATCAAGAGGTGGCAATTATAGGAGAGGAAAAAAAATGAGACAGTTGTTCCACCTCCACCCCCAGAAAATTTCTGGATGGGTACTGATCAGAATTAGAAGTGCATTCTGGGTGAGTATAGAGCAATCCCCGCAGAACTGGGTGGGCGGGAAGAATCACAGCCTACCTGGGTCAATACCAATAAATGAGAATGGAATTCTGGATGGCCACTGAAATATCAGAGAAGATGCCTAGGTCAATGCTGATAGGAGGGAATGTGTAGTGAACATCAAACAACTGCAATATAAAGGTGATGGATCTATTAGAGCGGGCAAATGGGAACATGTCCCTAAAAGCCAGGCTAAGGAGGATCTGTGGACCCTTGATGAAGGACAGAGGGCACCAATAGGTAGCCTTCATGGACACACTCTATCCTTTATTTCTGGCTTGGAAGGGGCAGAATCAAAATTCCCATGGCCACCTTCCAGTAGGTGAGTGAATGGGGACCCCTTCTGCCTTCTGCCAAAGACCCTAGCCACAGAGATCTCAAGATCCCCACAGTCCCATTTAGATTTAAAAAGGTACAGGCCGGGCGCAGTGGCTCACGCCTGTAATCCTAGCACTCTGGGAGGCCGAGGCGGGCGGATTGCTCAAGGTCAGGAGTTCGAAACCAGCCTGAGCAAGAACGAGACCCCGTCTCTACTATAAATAGAAAAAAATTAATTGGCCAACTAATATATATAGAAAAAATTAGCCGGGCATGGTGGCGCATGGCTGTAGTCCCAGCTACTCAGGAGGCTGAGGCAGAGGATTGCTTGAGCCCAGGAGTTTGAGGTTGCTGTGAGCTAGGCTGATGCCACGGCACTCACTCTAGCCTGGGCAACAAGTGAGACTCTGTCTCAAAAAAAAAAAAAAAAAAAAAAGGCACAATTACTGGGGTCTCCTCTGGGTTTCCATAGAGTCCAGAATGGAGCAGAGCCTTCTCTAGGGGGCAGTCTGTGAGTACTAACACACACTAAGTCAACTCACCCGTCCCCAGCTAAGCCCAGCCCCTGAAGGCCTGAGCCCAGTTTTGCCACTTTAATTTGGACAAATCACTATCATTTTCCTTCATTCTTCTCCCTCATAAGGGACGAGGTTAAACTCAGTGATGTTCATAGGTTTCTCCACCATCGGGAATCAGTTTCCAATGCTCAGAAACAGTCTTTATACATGCTAACACTGAGAGTTTATTTCTGATTATAAAAATAATACTTGCTTATTGTAAAAATTTTAGAAAAGAACAAAACAAAAAAAAGAAAAGAAATTTCATATGGTCCCATTACCCAGAGGAAACCATTGTTAACCTTTTAGAAACTTTCCTTACTAGCTTTTTATTTGTTTTGTTTTTATTGGTGTTAGTTGGGTTTTGGGGGGGTTTTTTGTTCGTTTGTTTTTTGAGTCAGAGTCTTCCTCTGCCACGCAGGCTTAAGTGCAGGCTGAGTACAGTGGTGCAATTATAGTTCACTGCAGCCTCACACTCCTATGCTCAAGCAATCCTTTTGCCTCAGCCTCCCAAGTAGCTGGGACTACAGGTGCACACAACCATGACTGGATAATTTTTTTTTTAATTTTTGTTGTAGAAATGGGGTCTCTCTATGTTGCCTAGGCTGGTTTTGAACTCCTGGCCTCAGGCGATTCTCCTACCTTGGCCTTTCAAAATGCTGGGATTACACGCATGAGCCACCGCATAATTGTTTTAAACAAAGTTGGGATCATGCAGTCTTTATAATGTTGTATTCTGTCATTATATCATAAGCATTTTCTCAAGTCATCAAATATTCTTCAAAAATATAATTTTAATGACTGCATAGTACTCCATCAAGAGTATATACCACGATTACTGAGCATTTAAGTTGTTTTCCTACTATAAATAACACTGCCATGAACATCCTAGTCTAGTGCTATAAGTATTTGACTGTATCTCCATTTCCTTAGGATTAATTCTTATAGGTAGAATTACAAGGTCATCAAATTGATATTTTTTAAGGGTCTTGACATGTATTGTCATATTAATTTCCAGGAAAACACAACAAACCAGTTGATTTTCCTGACCCAAGTGGGAGCTAAAGTTCTAAAAGAGTTGGAATTAGAATGCAAGAGAGTGGTCCTCTCCCCTAGTCCTAACCATCCAACAAAAGAGGGGACAGGATTCCAAGTCAGAAAATATGGGTCCGCAGCCTAGCTTTGTCTCTCACTGGCTTTGGGAACCTGAAACAAGCCTTGGTTTTCCTCACCTGTAAAAGGGGTATGATTAACTCTGCTCTGCTAATGACCTAGAGCAACTGCCTGCTTCCTAAAAAGGTGTTTGTGAAAGTTCTGTGCAAGTGTTGATGTTTTGTGTTAAACTGTACTATTACCATTTCCTTCTAATACCCTGGGGGTCTGAGAAAATGAGGTGTTCTCTGTGAAAGTCCAAGGGCTTCCCATCAGAATGCCCAAGACAAGTGCCACTGGTTCTGAGGTGACAGAAATGCAGCTTCCTGAAGGGTCTGAGGACCCAGGGAGACCGAGCACTGTCTTCCAAAGGTCAGACACACAGCATGGAACTGCGAGACATGGGGCTGGGCTGAGGGCCACCCTGAGGGTGCTGGGTGGATCTGGGGACCGAGAGAGCAAAGACCCTCCATTTCAAGGCTTCCAGCCCCTCCTTTCTAGGGTTCTGACTGGATATCTGATCTTTGGGGAACTGGAAACCAAGGTGATCCAAGGGACTCAAAAACTGCAGAGGACCCCAGGAACCATCAGCTCTGACCCCTTCTTCCAGGCCGCTACAAGTCAGCCCTGGATGTCTAAGACCCTCTCACTGGAAATGCAACTAGTGCTTCCAGCCCGACCTCGCCAGCCCCGGGCGGTTGAAAAAGAGACCACGGCTCCTCGAGAGGCTCCGCTGGACGACCTGAGCTTCCCTCCACACTCCCTACTCCGCTGTCCACCCGGCAGATGTCCTTCCCCACCTCCTCATGCTCCTCGCCTAGCGTCAGGCCTGAGGGAACTCCAGTGACGTTTCGAGTGCTGGCAGGAAGAACTGCGCAGACCCCAGGAGCGCCATCCTGCTCGGTTTTCGCCACCACTGCCGGCAGCCCTCCACCCCCAGCCCACCTCCACGGCCAGATGTGCATCTCCAGTCTCCACAGAAGCATAACAGGTGGCATCGGCCGTCCTCCCCAACCACACCTCCCTGCCCCTCCACCTGCGCCCCAGCCCTCCAGCTGCGCCCGGCCGGCCGCGGCAAAGCCTACCTTTGAGGTTCTGGGAGTGGCCCCGCGGCGCCCGGCTCGGGTTTCCTCGGGGCAGAGAGGGGATACTGGAGAAGTTGTTACCCATGGCATCCGGCCCCAGGGGGTTCGGCGCGCGCGGGGGCCGGCGAGGCCGGGCGGCGGTCCTGTGTGCGGGGTGTGCGCGCGCCGGTGCGCGCCGCCAGGGGAGGGCCCTGCTGGGGCTGCGGCCGGGGGCGGGCGGGCAGCTGCTCTCCTCCCTGGCTGTGGGCTTCGCGGTCCTCGGCGGGTCCTGCCCGCCGCGGGTGTCCTCGCGCCAGCCGGCTACCTGCCTCCCATTCCCCGCTGCGGGGGCGGGGGCCGCGGGCGGGCCCCTGGGCCGGGGCCGGCGGCGCCCGGGGCTCCCCTCCTCCTCCGGCTGGCGCTCGGGCTCCGACTGGTGGTGGGCGGCGCGGCGGCGGCGGCGGCGGCGGCGCGCTCCCCCGGGGCCATAGAGTCAGGGCTCCAGGCGCTGGCGCTCAGCGGCTCTGCCTGCCCGGAGGCTCGGCGGCTCGGCGGCCCGCTCGGTCCCCGCCCGCGGGGACCGCCGCTGCGGTGACGTGCGTGGCGCCCTCCCGCCGGCGGGTCTGCATGGAGCAGGGCTCTGTGGAGAGCCGGCGCGCTGGGCGATGCCGCAGAGGCTGGTCTCCCCCGGCTGCCGCGCTCCTGCCCCCGCCGGGTCCCTCCCGCGACCGTCGCCCCCCGCCCCCGCCGTCGCCAGGATTCCCTCGCTCTGGTTGTTATGGTGACAGCTGCGCCGGTGAATGAGCGTCTTAGTGACACGCGCGCGCCCGCTCGGCCAGATGTGGCCCCGGGACGCGACGCGTTCTCCGCTGCCACCAAGTTCTTGGCAACGCGGGGGGGCCAGGCAAGGGTGGGGGTAAGGTAGCAGGCGAAGATTGGGGTTCCAGGGTTGGCCTCATTCCTCTCACCCAGCAGCGACACTTGGGCATGAAAACAAGAGGAACAGAACAGCGAGAACTCCCTGGACGCCAGGGGCGAGGCGAAATAGCTCTAATTCAGTTTCCCCAGCACCGGCTATGGGGCCTGGCGAAGAGTGAAAAGCTCAAGAAAAACCTCAATGAGCGAACGGGTGATTGAATAAAGGAATTGAGATTAGGGACCCCAGCACCTGACCTTCCTCTCCCAGTCAGATCTCAGGGGCCCTGGGACAAGCGCCGTCACTGGACAGATGGCAGTGCGGCCCTCTGGATGTGTACAACCCACAAGGCTGGGCCTCTGGTCAAGCCAGAGGAACAAATTTCAGGGACAAACCATCAGAGAACCACCAACTTTGAACTGAGTGGTTCTGTCAGCTATAAGGGCCCATGCATGGGTGGGTCATGCAGCCCTAGCAGTCAAAGAAGGCTTCCTGGAGCAAGGGGGCTTCAGAAAGTGCCAGTTCAAATGACTCTTCCATCAGTGTAGCTCAACACCGCTACCAAGGAGCCTGCAGGAAGGGAAAATGAAGTCATTCTCCTACGTGTACCTGGAGTATCTCTTCTCCTAGGCTATCCCAGGTAGAAGATGCTCCAAGGTCCCTCCCCCCTGCCCCAGAAAGTCAACCTTCCAGCTCCTCTAGGTCATCTCTAGCTCCCTGATCTGGCTTCAGCAACTCTGATCCAGGCAATGGGCACCTCCTCCATCCTCTTCTGGAAGGTTCTTCCCCTAAGTCTCCATGTGACAGCTTCTCATTATTCAGGGACAGTTCTTGTCTCTGTCTTCCCTAACCATCCCAACTGAAGAACCCCACCACTCTGGCACTTTCCATACTATTATTCTGTTTTATTTTCTTCATAACATTTATGTAGAATTAGTTTAAAAGTAGCCTTTCCCCTTGCTCATGTTCTGCCTTCCCCACTAGAACATAAGCTCTGTGAGGGGAAAGTGTGGGTCCATCACATCTGCCTTGGTGTCCCTAGCCCCTGAGAGAGTGCCTGGCACATGACAGAGGGAATCATTGCAGAATGGATGAATCTGCCTGCCTGCCTGCCTGCCAGCAAAACTCCACGAAGTCCCTTGGGAGTAGAGCCTTCTGGATCACCCTTCGTTCCCTCTCCTGCCCTCTACCCCACCCCATTCCAGGCCTCACACCCTTAGATGTCTGGGGCTCTAGGAGAGCTAGAAATATCTGTGGCAGCTGCTTTCTGGAGCCTGGAGGGAAAGACAGCCCCATCCCCAGCCTCTGGCCTCTCAGATGCCCGGGATCACGTGCCCAGCCAGCTGCAGATGGCCCCGCAGGTCAGGGACTGCTGTCTTATTTATGGGCAGTATCTTCCCAAGGCGCACTGGCAGCTGATGACTCAGGCGTCAGAAATCCGTGGGCTCTGAGCAGCATCACACTCACACATTTGCACACGCACCTCCACCCTGTCTCACACACTGACTTGTACACACGCACGCATCCACACCCACACTCATTTATATACTCCCTGAAACCTGCCGGAATGAAGTCACGGTGAGCATTGCCGGGACCAGGCCTTTTACAAGTCAGAACAAATATCAGGACTCTGTATAGATGAGACAGATTCCCCTTGAGTGTGTGTGAAGTGCGAGGTCCTGGCTGGGATTTGCAGATGGTGGCTGCAGGGAGGCTCGGGGCCCTTCCTAGTGCAGTCCCACCTCTCCCTCCTCCTGGAAAGAGCAGCCGAGGCGGGGCAGGGGGATGGGGGGTGGCAAGGCCCCAAAGGTAGAGGACCACGGGGATGTCACAGGCCCCACACGACCTAAGCCTGGGGCTGTGGGCAAAGCAGGGGAGAGATGGAGGAGGTCAGAGGAAAGGAGGGAAGTGAGGGCCTGAGTGCAGAGGCAGCGAAGGGATCTGCAGCCTGACCCCAGGGAGCCCCAAAGGAAGGTGAGAGGCATGAGGGACAAAGGCAGGGAACTGAGGGCAGCACAGAAATGTCCCCAGACCCAGGAGGGAGGGTGGAGGAGATGATGGGAGTATCAACAGGGCTGGGATCAGGATGAGGGGACACAGGCATCCTGGCACAAAATTGAAGGAGGTGCTGACTCTCAAGGTCGTGCATTTGCCCCAGTGCGAGAGTGACAGCCTCTGACATTTTGCACCCTAGGCCCCTGCCCTAGCCTCACCCTAGTTCTTTCTGAGAGCTCTGTACTGAGAGGGGGACACCACTGTTAAATGTCAACTCTGTCTATGGCCAGGCAGGGACCTAGAGGAGGTAGGACCCCCTTTGAGGGGTCTCATGCTTCAGAAACCGTTCTTGGCAGGGACTGTGGTTAGACCCAGTTCAGAGGGTCAGAGAAAGCCAGCACCCTCCCCTCCCTGGACTTTGGGCAGAACGCCAAGGCCTCTAAGCCATCCTTCACCACAGCAGCTGCCAGGAGACAGAGAGGCAGCCTTCATGTGGCCGTGGCCCCAGGGCCTTCCCAGCCCCATCCCGGAAGGGAGCAGGGAGAAGGAACCTGCCAGGTCGGTTCCTAAATGGATGGAGTCACTATCTTGGTGGCTTCAGTGGAAGCTATCAATACCCACAAGGTGGTGCCCAGCACCTGTCACTGTGGCGCCCCCCCCCCAACAGTGAGGATACTGGGTGTAGTATCTGAGGGATGGGTGTCAGTACACTTGTGGCCTTTTGTGTGCCGGGGTGGGCAGTGTGAGTGCTCATACAGGCATGTAGGACAGGGAGGACCTCAGGCAGGGACCTTCCCCATCCTCTCCTCTTCCTCCCTCCCAGGCCCTTCCTTCTCTGCTTCTCCCCACCCCTGTCTGCGCTGTCTGCTCTCCCTGCCTGGTTCACCTCCTCTACCCTTTCTTTCTCACTCTCCACAGCTCCCAGGTCAGGTCAAATCTTGAAGAGTCACCATGTTGATAACATAATAGAATATTTGATGGAGAGTCCACTTTCGTCCCTCCTTGAGCCCCCGCACACTGAGCCCAGAGCCAGCCACAGGGATGACCGCCACCATGCAAGCAAGAGTGGGGGTCATCTAGGCCAAGCCATGCCCCAACTAAACTTGAGACCACCCTAGTCAATAGCATGACCCCTCCCTCCCCATCAAGAAACCAATTTAGAATAGGAAATAGCTACAACCATCCCCAGCTGGGATAAGTGACACCCCTCCCATCCCCCAAGGCCCAGTCCATGGTTAATCGGGCTGTGAGAAACTTGGTGAGGGTCCTGCCTGAGCTGCAGGGGGTGCCTGGATGTGTTGAAGTGTGGATCCCAGAGTGCCTGCTACACAGTGATGCTCAATAAATATTTATTAAATCTATCAGTGAATCAAGACATGGATGGATTCACTTATCATTACAGCCACACGGCCAGCCCCAGAGGGCTTTGCTGGGACAAGCCTGTGTTGTCAGTCCCCTTCCCAATGGTACTTTCCCCACTAAGTTCCCTGAGGCCAGGCCCCTCTGAAGGACAGAAGTCTGTGCTACCCATGTTGGCATGGAATGTGCCCCACACTGCCTTGTTCGCAGGTACTTTGGGATTCAGCTTCACTCTTAGCCCAGTGACCATTTATTAGGCACCACATGTATGCCTGGCATTGAGTGAAGTGCAGTTTCCTTGCTGGCAGCATGGAGTAGCCTGTCCTATGCTTCAGGCCACTCCAGTCCCAGCTCCCCAACTCCCCAACTTGAGTTCAAAACTGAATACACAGTGGGTCTCACTAAATGCTGACTGCATAGCTGGGCAGTTGGCTCTGAGCTCCAAACCTTTCTGATCATGTACCCCTAGCAGTAATAAATATTTAAGCATGTACCTAATATTGTATATTTATTTATTTGTAATGTCTACATATGTACCACTGTATTCATATTGTGTATATTTTGAAACATACATTAAATAGAAAAATCAGATTTAAAAATGGATAAGCTGGGCAGGGTGGCTCACACCTGTAATCCCAGCACTTTAGGAGGCTGAAGCAGGAGGATCGCTTGAGGCCAGGAGTTCAAGACCAGCCTGGACACCATAGCAAGACCCTGTTTCTACAAAAACATTTTAAAATCAGCAGGGTGTGGTGGCTCACACCTGTAGCCCCAGCTACTCGGGAGGCTGAGGTGGGAGGATAGCTTGAGCCCAGGAGTTTGAGGTTACTGTTAGCTATAATAGTGTCACTACACTCCAGCCTGGGTGACAGAGTAAGATCCTGTCTCGAATTAATTAATAAAATAAAAGGATCATCTTGCCCTCCTCCTGGTGTACACACACTCTAAACTAGTAATCCTCAAATTCAAATGTCCATAGATTCAAATCATCTATGAGGGCTTAGGGAGAGGGTGGTTAAAATGCAAGTTCCCAGGCCCCACCTCCAGAGATTCTGATTCAGCAGAATCTGATACAGGTCGCTTACCGATCGCACGTTAGGAAACTGCTCTATATGATCACATTCCTAGTTGGGAGGATGAAGTTTAAAAAGGCCTGCAGGATTTCCCCAGGAACGTTGGACACCACACGGGACCAGGCTGCCACCCAAGGAGGGATAACCTCACTGGAAGGTGGCTGTA